GTCTGCTTCTCCCTCTGACCCTCCTCCCTCTCATGCTCTCTGTCTCTCATTCTCTCTCTCTCAAATAAATAAATAAAATCTTTAAAAAAAAGAATGCTTTTGCTTCCAACCCCGAGATGTGATCCTAAACACTTTCCTATCACAAACCCTGGCATTATCTCCTGTGTTGATTTTTCAAATGCGTTTCTCCACTTTCCCCAAACAGTGGAAGCTGTTAGTGCTGGGGCTCTATTTTGGGCTCGAGGGGCCTGGGTGTGCCTCTGCAAGTACGACTATGCTTTATTGACATATGGAAAAGCATTCCAGAGGGCGGTTATATTCTCCCTAACACAGTTCCAGGGTTGTGGGTACTGAATCCTGAAAACAGGTGGCTTGTTTGGGAGAGATGAGTAACACGGCATAACGGCGCATGGGCAGCCACGCTGCTCGCCTAGGAGGGCACCAGCTGCGGAGAAAGCACATGCATTTCCTGCAACCACCGCCTGGTAGCTGAGTGAGCTTGGACGAGGCCCTTGCCACGCCAGCCCTGAGGCTCCCCGTCTGTCAAGTGAGGATAATGCCAGGAAATGTTTTCAGGACAAGTGATCGCCTCTCTAGAGTGCCTCACACAATGCCTGGCACGCACTGGGCACTCAGTACCTGAACCTGGGCCCTTCCCCTGGTGGTGGACCACTGTGGGCTTCCAGAACCTTGGATCTGTGCCCAGGTGGGCAATAAGGAGCACTGAAAGCAGTTGGTTGCTAACACTGTGCTCCTTCTAATCGAGCACCCTCCCCTCACCCTCACTCAGGATGGCCTTTAGCACTGGTTAGGAAGACTTAGCCTTCCAAAGCCTCGGTTTCCTACTCCACCGAAGGGGAGAGAGAGTCTCTGGTTGGCCAAACTGATCTCAGTCAAAAAAGGCGCTAATAACATCTAATGTGTACTGAGCACTCACTGGGTACCAGGAACTTCACAGGCGCAGCCCAAATATACCTGCGGGCCCATTCTCTGCTTGGTTACTGAATTCAGAAAACAGCAGTACTGCCCAAAACCGTAATTAAGAGCCATTCAAAAGTTTACTTGGTTTCTTCAAGAAAATACCAAAGGAAAACATATCCTCAATGCACAGAAAAGCTCTTTGAAAATCTCTTTACATTTCTCATTCTCAAATTCTTCTCTCTGCTAAATGGTGGCTTCAGAAAAAGCTCCGCTCTTCCTCTGCTCCCCTCAAGACTCCACAGTCTCTCTCCCCACACAGCGTCCTCACTCCAGGGTTGCCCTTCTAGTTGACTTCCTCACCCGCCATGTCCGTCCTCCTATTCTGGAAGCTTCTCTCACTTCCCAGGAAGTGGGACCAGGGGTCAGGGTGGATAAAATCCTACATCTTGCTGTACATGGAGCACCTCCTTTTTCTTTCTTTTTTTAACTTTTCTTTCCAGTTCATGTACCATCTCTTTTAATCCTCAACAGCCATTATGTGGTAGAGCTGGGATCTTAACCCAAAGGTCATCAGCCTCTGTAGTCAGATTCTTAGCAAGACGGCTGTCACAGAATAAGCACTCAATAAAAAGTTTCTCACCCTTTCACACTGGTCATGTTATGTCTGCTCAAGAACCTTCAAGGGTTCCTCATTCCCTAGAGTAGGGGTCAAGCAAATGAGGCCACAGGCCAAATCTGGCCGACCACCTGTTTTTGTAAATAAAGTTTTGTTGGAACAGTAAAGTTGCTTTCACCCAACAGAATTGAATAGTTACAACAGAAATCGTATGGCCTGAAAAACCTGAACTATTTATTATTTGGCCCTTTACAGAGTTTGCTGACCCCTGGTCTAGAGAATAAGAGGGAACAGAGGCTGCCTCTTATCCTCCTTTGGATCTGCTATGAAGCAAGTATAAACAAAAGTAAATAAACTTCGAATGAGTGGACAAGCTGTCCATACCATCATCTTGGAGCCACAGCCCTAAATGCAGAGAGATCCCTAAATACAGTCAGACACCCCAATTTACCTAGTCCCCAAACAGTGCCACCTCGTCCCTGTAGGTCACAGACAGCCCCTTCTGACCTGCCACAGACATCCCAGACTCCTTGGCCATCCGGAGCTATCAGAGAAGTCAGAGATGATTAAGTCCTCTACTTCTCTACTCTTTAATGTCCACACCCTCTTCTGATAGAAAAATTCCATACTCCTCCTTTTTTGCTGTGCAACATAGTTTTTTTTTAAAATTCAACAAGCAGGGACACTGGGGTGGCACAGTAGGTTAAGCAGCTGACTCTTGGTTTCAGCTCAGGTCATGATCTCAGGGTCCTGGGATCGAGGCCCACATCGGGCTCCACGCTCAACCAGGGGAGTCTGCTTCTCCCTCTCCCTCTGCCCCTCCCCCTGCTCACGCTCTCTCTCAAATAAATAAGTAAATCTTTAAAAAAATAAATTCAGTTGGACGCCCGGAGCCAGCGCGGTGAGGACCATGTTGCTTCCGAACATCCTGCTCACCGGTACACCAGGGGTTGGAAAAACCACGCTAGGCAAAGAACTTGCATCAAGATCAGGACTGAAATACATTAATGTGGGTGATTTAGCTCGAGAAGGGCAGTTGTATGATGGCTATGATGAAGAGTATGAATGCCCCATTTTAGATGAAGACAGAGTAGTTGATGAATTAGAAAACCAAATGAGTGAAGGTGGAGTTATTGTTGATTACCATGGTTGTGATTTCTTTCCTGAACGCTGGTTTCATATAGTTTTTGTGCTGCAAGCAGATAACAGTGTACAAAAGACTTGAAACAAGGGGTTATAATGAAAAGAAACTAAAAGAAAATATTCAGTGTGAAATTTTTCAAGTTCTTTATGAAGAAGCATTAGCATCCTACAAGGAAGAAATAGTACATCAACTGCCCAGCAATAAACCAGAAGATCTAGAGGATAATATCAATCAGATATTGAAGTGGATTGAGCAATGGATCAAGGATCATAGCTCCTGACTTATAAGACTGGCCACTTTACAACCACTCTTGTTATATCCCTGCCATAATGAATAAATTGTCCAGTTATCAGTAAAACTTTCTTATTAAGATTGTGCTGCAGGACTAGTATATGGATAATCTAAAGGTTTATGTTTGGGCTTTTTTTCTCCACGAGAAAGCAAAACATTCTCAAGTATAGTATATATAATATCATTAAGGATTTAAAGTAAAAACTGTCATCTTAAATGCTTCAACTGCTGAAGAATAAATAAATCTGACCAAATGGGTGGCTAAATAAATAAATAAATTCAACAAACAAAATGATAATGTTGAATGTGCTTTTCAAACTGTACTCACCTCTCATGAAGACCATTGATCTTGTCCAATTTGCTCACTTTGCCACTGGGGAAACAGGGGCAGGTACAGGGCTCAAGAAGGTCCAGTGGCATAGAATCAGAGCCTGGCTCTCCAGAGCTCCCGAGGCCCAGCTCAGTGCTCAGGTGTTCCTCCTAACCTGCTCCTTGCCAGGTGGGGTAGGTGAATGTGTGGGGTGGGGAGCGATGGGTGGAGGAAGGCTCCTGTCTTCCCTGGCAGCCCCAGGCCAGGCTCACGTGCTGCTGTGGCCTCTACCAGGCCCCCCCAGTGCTCTCAAAGCTAAACCATGGAATTTCCCAAGGGAGAGAGGTGATTTGGCCCAGTGCTACCGACAAAGAGAGTCGGCCCAGGTCACTAACAGGCAGCCACAGATTCGGGACCCCCCAGAGGGGCCAAGGAGCCCTCAGTAAGTCCAACCTACCACCTCCTTATCTCTGGCCTGCCTCTTCTCTCTCGGGCTGCTAGCTCTCCATCCTTGGTACCCAGGACACCTGCTCCTTTCCCTCTGCCCATCTGTCTCTCTGGCTCCTTATACCTCCCCCCTTGCCCCCACCCGTCAGGCTTCCTCCAGTCTCTGGCAACACCCTGTCAGAGGGGCTCGCTGAGCACTGGCAAACCAGCAGCCTGGAGGCCCAACACAGCCCACATCTATGTTTTGTTTGCCTAACACAGTATTTTAAAAACAATTTGAATTAGTTTCTCACATTTAAAAACCAGTAGGAATCATCTAAAATGTGCATACCAGTCCCCACCACTGCCTGCTGCCTCCCCAGTCCTTCTGATGCACTCTTTACATGACCTGCCTGGCCTCCGGAAGGCAGTTGAGTTTGCAACCCCAGTCTTGCTCACTTTGATCTGAGCCCCTCTGTACCTCCCATCCGTCTCACCAGAGAAGACCCTCCCACCCTGAGACCACCCCCAGGGCTTAACCCATCCACACCCAACCTCCTGACCATCCACTCACTCAAGCCCCACAAGTATCAGGGGAGAAAGTGCCCCAGCTGCTGCCCCCAAACATCTCTCCAGGCCCACAGCCCCCAGGAGCCCTGACTCTGAACCCCGCAACTCCCATGGTGGTCGCTCAGGAAACAGGGTGACAACCCAACATCTTTTATTGGGTCTAAACAAGGACTCCTGCATTCTTATACCGAGGCAGGAGTTCTTGGATTTTATATCGGGGTGCTGTGATGGCTTCGACGATCCTCAATGGGGGGAGGTATTTCTGGGGTGCCATGAAAACGGGATGACAAGGTTTAGTCTCCTTGTTGAAGCTGCACAAATCCAGAATCAGAGACTTGGGGCTGTAGATCGCCTTCTTCTTGGGCCGGATCGGGGTGAACAGTGGGCGCTGACGAGGCTTCACCAGCAGCCGCAGTAGGTCCTTCCGAAATCTATCCCAGCTGTTCTGCTGAAGGAACTTCCGGCACAGATCTTCATCACTAAAGGCGAGGGGTAGATGCTGAGTTTCCCACACCAGCCCCTCCTGTCCCCCTGCCCCTCCAGTCTTGCCTCCTGCCACTCTTCCAATTCCTCAACACAGTGTGCTCTGTCCCACCTGGGTACCTCTGCCCAGACTCCTCTCTGCCTCCTCTGCCTTTCCACACCTTCTTCCCCTAGAACCGCGCTGCTCTGTGCGGTGGCCACGAGCCACATGTGGCCACTGAGTACCTGTGGTGTGGCCAACCTGAATTAGAGATGTGGTGTGAGTTTAAAATACACACCAGATTTCAAAGACTTAGAGCAAAAACAAATACAGAGACTCTCATTAATAACATTCGTGTTGATTACATGTTGAAATGATAATATTTGAGACACACTGAATTCAATAAAATATATTTTAAAAAGCAATTTCACTCATTTCTTTTTACTTCTTTTTTTTATTAACATATAATGTATTATTTGTTTCAGGGGTACAGGTCTGTGATTCATCAGTCTTTTTACTTCTTATAATGTGGCTACTAAAAAGTGAAATTATATAGGTAACCATTTATCCATCAAGGAAACATAAGGCAAAGCCACAATGAGATACCGCTTATGCCCACTAGGATGGCTATAATTAAAAAGATAGATAAAAATGTGTAATGAGGTGGAGATATTAAAACAAGGGTTTTGGTACACTGCTGATGGGAAAGTAAACTGGTGCGGCCACTTTGGATAAGAGTCTCGCAGCTCCTCAGAAGGTTAAACAGAGTTAACTTACAACCTAGCAATTTTACTCCTAGGTATATGCCCAAGAGAAACGAAAACCTATGTCCACGCAAAGCCTTGCACAAGAATGTTCATAGCAGCGTTATTCATCATGGCCAATAAGTGGAAACAACCCAAACATCCATCCACTGACGAATGGATAAAATGTGATATATACATGCAATGGAATATCATTTGACACTAAAAAGGAATGAAGTCAGGGTGCCTGGGTGGCTCAGTTGGTTAAGCATCGACTCTTGGTTTTGGCTCAGGTCATGATCTCAGGGTTGTGAGGTCAAGTTCCGTGTTGGGCTCCTCACTCAGCATGGAGTCTGCTTAAGATTCTCGCTCTCTCTCCCTTCCTCCCTCCCTCCCTCTCTCTCTCTCAAATAAATAAATAAAATCTTAAAAAAAAAAAAGGAATGAAGTACATACTACAACATGGATAAAACTTGAAAACACTATGCTAAGAAGCCAGTCGCAAAAGACGACACATTTTATGATCCCATTTATGTGAAATGTCCTGAACAAGCAAATCTATGGAGACGGAAAGTAGATTGGTGGCTGCCTTGGACTGGCCTTGGTGCCCTGACTCTATTCCGTCCCCTACCCCAGCAGGAGCTCCGGAGGGTGGGGAACGTGGGGGAGGGGAGCGGGCTCAGCACTCATTGGCTTAGTTCCTTCTGAGACCACAGCAAGGGAAGGGCATGTTCCATTTCCACTGACTTGCCTGTGCTAAGGAAGCAAGCCTAATAAGTCGCTAACGAATTAGAACATTCTTCAGAAAAAAAAAAGAACATTCTTCTGGCAACATTATATTGACCAGGGCAGGGTCAACTTTGTTCCATAGAGATCAACTTAATAGAAAATCCAGAGGTCAGAACAGGCTAAAGTCAGCTCCTCTCAGCTTAGTGGTGATTATGTGCAGCTCTCAACCCCGTGTGTTCAGTGACATCAGGTTGGTAGGTGGAAATTGGCCATGGTGGGAATATGTACACCACAGAAATCAGTAAACCCTTCAAATCAGGCTTCCCTGCCATCCACCTCCCAGAGAGCTGGTTGTTAAACATTCACCAGCACACTACTGTATAGTCTCCACTTAGAAAATTCCACTAACTCCCAATTTCTTCCATTAAAAAAAAACAAAAAAACAAAAACAAAAAAAGGCAACATCTAACTCTGACTTAGCACTTACCATGTGCCCAGCATTTACTTGTTAACCCATTTAATCCTTACAACTACCCATTTCACAAACATGGACACTGGGGTTCAAAGATGCTACAGGACTCACCAAAACCTAGGAGGGGGCAAGCGTGTGATTACAGATTCTTAGGGGGCTTTTTTTGTGGGGGGCTCAGTCCAAGTTCAGATATACAAGATCCATGTCGCCTCCTGATGCTGATGGTCATATTGATTTCTAGTTAATTTTTTCACAAAATGGGGTCACTCTTCTAAAGGCCTCAGCTTGCTGCAGGGCTTTCACTTCCAATCTCTACCTCACGTGAACTGAAAGTTTCATCTGTCCCCGCAGGCTATAAAAACTTCAGCCCATGATGGCCTTAATCCCCGGCCCAGCCCACACCCACCGGGCAATCCCACACTAGATCTTTTAGGTTCTCCTTCATTTTGGCCCTCGGAGATTTCCCTTCTCTCTTGGGAATTCAGCTGTTGGTTCCATTCTGCGTGGCGTGCTTTGCATGGGAGAGACCTCAGCTTCTCCAGCTCATAGCATTTGCAGGACAGGTGTGACTGTCACTGAGTGTGTGATCTTCAGGATGTCACGTCCTCTTCCCTGGGCTTCACAGTCCTCAATTAAAACATGGAGGAATTGAGCTAGATAATGGATATGTTTTCTGCCTGCTTTAGCAGTCTAGAAGCCATGAGTTCAATAGTGAATGGATAAGCCGGAATTCTATCTGTCAGCACTGTGGACCATTGCAGCCGAGTGCTGACCGAGAGGCACAGATGCTGAGGGCTCAAGCATCTGCCGCCCTCAGGCCTATAGAAACCTCTTCTGAATTTTAATTCAACAGGCATTAACTGATACCCATCATGTGCCAGGCATCATTTGAGGTTCTAAGGCTCCTAAAATATCTTTTTTTTTTTTTTAAGATTTTATTTATTTGAGAGTGAGCTTGAGCAGCAGGGAGGGGCAGAGGGAGAGGGAGAAGCAGACTCCCTGCTGAGCAAGGAGGGGGGCATGCGGCTCCATCCCAGGACCCTAAGATCATGACCTGAGCCTAAGGCAGATGTTTAACTGAGCCACCCAGGTGCCCCGACACTGAAAGGTTTTATGCAGGAGTTTAACATGGCCAGATCTGGGTTTTAGCAAGAGCACAGATAACAGAAAGGATCTAGTGGGGAGGAGATTGAGGCAGGGGGCCCAGTGGTAAGACCAGGGGTCTAGGCTGGGGGTCCCAAAGTGGGGGTGTAGGGTCATGTCATCTAGTGAGGTGAACAAGATCCACTGGGGTGTGTGAAAAAAATACAGGACATCATTTATATTCATCTTTGTCTTATTCTTCTAAAGATCTATTTTGGTATGTCCATAATGTATATTTTAGCACAGCAATATATGTATGTAATAATAATAAATTAACATATGTTATTCATATTTACATAAATTCTAGGGGGTATATACTCAAACACTTCTTAGTAATAACAGTGTGAGATCAAAATAGTTTTACAACCGCTGGTCCAGTTAACTTTTACATTAAAAAATAGGTTTTTTTGACATTATAGAAGTATTCACTCTGGAAAATTTGAAAACCAGGGAAAAGTAAAAAGAAATATTTTGATTGAATCTTTCAAGATATTTTATTTTTTTAATTATAAAAGTAATATCATCATTACCAAACATTTGGAGAATAAAGGAAAAAAGGAATGCCACTCTCCTGACAACAACTTTTTTTTTAGGGGGGGGAGGCGGTGGGGAGGGGCAGAGGGAGAGAGGGGGAGGAGAGGGAGAGAGAGAGAGAGAAT